TAGATAGATAGATAGATAGATAGATAGATAGATAGATAGATAGATAGATAGATAGATAGGTAACATTATAGGATGGATAGATAGCCAGCTACCTTGATTGAAAGTGCTGATTCCAATTTTTAGTATTAAAGGCTCACCCCTCCCCAATGTCTCAAGGTTACCAATATTTCTGGCCACTAGAGGCGCCAGAAAGGGGGGTTCTGATCTAAAAACTCCATTTTTATAAGAGAAATGTTTGTTTGGGGGTGGGGGTGGAGCAGATGCCACCCTCCAAAAGTGAAGAATGAAAAACAAAATATGGGCATTTCCTCGCATTTTTCTGTTTTCAAGTCAAAGGACCCTGTCTCATCTGTTTGACTTTTACACCGATAATTCCTAATTCCCTCCCTCCTTCTCTCTCCCTCTTTTTGCAGAACCACCAAAGCACTGCTGCAAGGCGTGGAAAAGGACCCTCCTACACTCCAAAGCAACACAAAAACAGAGGCGTGGATTTTTATTTTTCGCACAAGAAAGATCTGGTCTGACTTGATGGTCGCTCATGGTGGTTGTGTAGGGAAAGGACAGGTTGACGTTGGGGTTCCGAAGGGTGAATTCCATCATCTTCCAGGGCCACCAATCACCTTGACCTTCGTAACAGCCAGATGGAGGTGGCCACTTGGATCCATCTTGGTGGCCACTCAGACCACCTCAAAGGCCTCCCCAATCTCCCAAAAGCAAAATGGGAAATAATTAGTATTTTAGGTGCTTAATGGGTGCATGGATTCCCTGTGTGGCTTCTTTAAAAATTGAATTATATACTCTTGAGGACTTTTTTTGGGGCTTGGAATTGGGGTTACAGGGACGAGATAAATAGATCTCTATTGAATCTGCAGATTATTTAAGAATTAATTTTTCCAAGATACTTCTGTTGTTTTTTAAAAAAACTTTTGCAGAGAAGCATTAAATCATCAATGATGCCAAAATTTAATTACAGTCGTGCCCCGCTTAATGATTACCCTATATAACAACAAATCCGCTTCACGCCGATGTTTTTGCAATCGCAAAACAATGTTTCAAATGGGTTTTTTTCGCTTTGCGAAGATCAGTTCCCTGCTTCGGGAACCGATTCTTCGCATTATGATGATCAAAACAGCTGATCGTCGGGGTTTCAAAATGCCCACCGGGTGCTCAAAATGGCTCCCTGCTGTGTTTTTGGGCGGATTCCTCGCTCTACAGGTACCGAAAATGGCCGCCCCTATGGAGGATCTTCGCTGGACAGTGTGTTTTTCAGCCCATTGGAACGCATTGAACGGTTTTCAATGCGTTTCAATGGGCTTTTTAATTTCGCTTTACGACATTTTCGCTCTACAGCGATTTCGCTGGAATGAATCAACGTCGTTAAGCGAGGCACCACTGTAAGTTCTTTTCTCTGTCTTTGTTCAGCCTTTTCAACTAAATGCAAAACTCCCCCACAAAAACATAGGAATCAAAATAATGTTAGCATTTTGGAGAAAAGGACCATGTTGATCTATGATCTGGGTTATACCTCATGCCCTCTTGTCTGCAGTGGTTGTTTTGAACTCAGGTTTGCTACCTCAGAGGTGGGTGGTTGCTTTTAGGGGAGCATCAGTGAATTTTGAATTTAAACCGGCTGGATAACGAAACAGCTGTGCCTACGATTAATAACCTCAGAGGACAACATTAATCCCAATAAACCTATAATCTTTCACTGTCTCTTATAGTTTCTTATATGGTGTACAGCAACAAATTTCTACAACACTTAGTTACGCACTATAACTTGATTAGAAATTAGAAATATTTCTGTTGCGATATCTTTCATTTCAAGCATTTTTAAAAAATCAAGCTAGCTATTTTGCATTTGGAAATAGCTCCGAGTCGACTGATATTTTAGATTTTCTTGCAGACTTGGCCTTTGCACAAAAAGGATTTGGGGGTATAAATTCTATAAATCTGCTAGCGTTAACTTCTTCCAAAGCACAGTTTCTACAAGAAGTCCTTAAAGGTTGATTTTCAATTGCTGTGATAACCAAGAGGTTCTGGGAGTTTAATTTTTTTTTTAAAGTTACTTTTTTTAAAAAATTATGGATTTTGCAAACCTTTGCAGTGAAGTTCCCTGATTCATAATCCCAAAGTCACCACCTTTTAGACTAATTCATTTCGCAGGATTGTTGAGACAGTCACACGAATGATGGGGTGGGAGATGACCCCTCCTGATCTTTTTGGAGAAGAAACAGACCAAACCAATAAATAAATAAATGGATTGTCCCTTTCTGAGATGCCTTACAAAATGTGGAGGAACTGGGCTGGATCTGATCCCTGCATGCCAATGCTCAGTCTTGGGAGTCAGGGAGGGTCTTTAACACAGAGAGAGTATCCTTGCACGCGTACAGAGTGCCTTTTCCAATTTGTCCAGCAGAACCTTCCTCTACATAAGAATTCTAGACACAGCAGGTATCCTGACAATGAAAATGCAGGACAAGAAAAAAAAATGAAACAGACGAGGCTTCTCTGATCCCTTCTCCAGAGTAGGAGAAAATGACTGAGGGTCCTCAAAAGCTGGATTCCCACCACGCCTCCTTCCTAAAAAGGCACAAATCTCCCAAGACGAGAATCAGCGACGCCTTGACCGACCAAAAAAGCATCATCCCGCAGGCGAGCTTTCGTGGACCGAAACCACTTCGTCAAGCATCATCCCGCATGCGAGCTTTCGTGGACCGAAACCACCTCGTCAGGCTGGTTACCCGCGTGGAGAACTTTGCAAGTCCCAACAGTTCATAGAAAAATGGATTTCCCCCCCGGAAAAGTGACTCTTGGAGGCCAACTCCAAAAGCTGGTAGCCAGAGGGGTTTTTGCCCGGAAAAGTGACTGACTGGGAAGAGGTAAAGTCCGCACATTCTGGACCCACGAAAGCGTGGATCATCGTAGGATGATTTTTCCCCCCAGCCCCCTGTAGCCGATGCTGACGACGCCTGCCTTCGCAGTTCACACGGACCCCCTCCCCTCGCTCCAACCAGGTGCCCCGAAGGCGAAGGAAAGGTCGAGGGGGGCCCCGATCCTCACTCCCCACCCCAGGCTGGGGTCAGTCGGCGCGGCAGGAGCGAAAGCGAAAGCGCCCGGGCGCCCTTCCTCCTCCTCCTCCTCGTCCGGCTCCTCCTCTCGCGCCGCCCCGTCGGGGCAGCGCCAGCCGTGCCGGGAAGGAGGAAAGCCGGCGGGCGAGGCCGAGAGAGCCCGGGTGGGTCGGTGGGTGCGCGGCTGCCATGGCGAGCCCGACCCGCAGCCCCAGCCCCGGCTGCAGCAGCAGCAGCGCTGCCGTCCCCTCCTCGCCCGGGGCGCCGTCGGAGCCGGAGGCATCGTCGGAGGCGCTGCTGTCCCGGGTGCCGCTGGTGGCGCTGAACTTCGCGGTGCGGCGCCGGCTGGCGCTCTTCCTGAACCCGCGGGCGGCGGTGGCGGCGGACTGGGCGTCGCTGGCCGAGGAGCTGGGCTACGACTACCTGGAGATCAAGCACTTCGAGGGCCTCGCCGACCCCACCGGGCGCCTCCTCGAGGACTGGCAGGCCCGATGCCCGGAGGGGGCCACCGTCGGCCGCCTGGTCGGGCTCCTCCGCGCCCTCGAGCGCCACGACGTCCTCCAAGACCTCGCGCCCCGCATCGGTGAGCCCCGATTGCCCGACGGCGCCTCCCTTCCTTCCCTTCCTTTACCGGCCCGATCCCTCCTCTCCTCTCGCCGATGGAGCACAGCCCTGGATCCCCACCTCTTCCCGTCGGGGGGGGGAAATCACCCAAGGGCTTGACCGGTTGGATTCCGGCCAGAGACCGGACCGGGGGAGGCGGCCGGAGGTCCCCGCGGCTCGGCATCCCCCTCCTTCCATCAAAGGTCCCTCTCCCTCGGGGCTGGGCTCCCTTCTCCCCCGGCCTTGCCCTCCCAACCCGACGGAGTCCCGCCTCCTGTTTTTTTTGCCCACGATCTGGGGAGGGACAGGCAGCCGCCCAGCCGGCCGGGGACTTATGGCTACTTGCAAAGGGCCTGGGGGGGTGCATGTCTAAATTTGGGGTGTTCTGTATTCAAATCTCTTATCAAGCTACCATGCTTGTTGTTGGGGGGGGGGAAGGTAGGAAAGGAGAGGAATCCTGGAGCTGAGCCACCCCCTAGCTCCTTTCCTGCCTTTTCCCGGTCATTAAACATTGATTTGTGGTTGCGATCTTTTGCTTCCCTTCCATACTATTATCGAATATTTTGTGTACTAGCTTGTGCCCTCTAGTGCAGTGGTCCCCAATCTTGGGCCTCCAGATGTTCTTGGACTTTAACTCCCAGAAATCCTGACCAGCAGAGGTGGTGGTGAAGGCTTCTGGGAGTTGTATTTGTGTGATAGCCTGTGTGCTCTAGTGGATAGAGTGATGGACTAGGACTCTGGAGACCTGGGTTCGAATCCCCACTTTGCCCTGGAAACTGACGGGGTGGGTGGGTGATGGTAGCACTGGTAAACCCCTCCATATACATTTACATACCTCAAAGCCCTGTTCGGTTTCTCCTAAATCTGAAACGCTTTGGTGCCCCGTAACTAACACATACGCACTAGCTCAGTCGTTTAGGCATTTGGGTGCAGAGCCCGAAGTGGGGAGTTCCGATTCCCCCACTGCGCCTCCTTAACAAGGGCTGATCTCAAGAGGGTCCCTTCCAGCTTTGGAGTTCAAAGATTGTTACTACTTAGTAAATGTACTGCCTTGTTTCCCCGAAAATGAGACAGGGTCTTATATTAATTTTTGCTCCAAAAAACGCATTAGGGCTTATTTTCAGGGGGTGTTTTTTTTTTTCATGTACAACAATCTAAATGGATTCAAATACAGTCACATCATCATCTTCTGGTTGCTGCACAAGGGTGGAGGGCAGGGTTCCACTGAACTGGGGCTTATTTTTGGGGTAGGGATTCTGTGACGAGCATCCTGAAAAATCATACTAGGGCTTATTTTCTGGGAAACAGAGTAGTAGTATTTATTAATTGTGTTTCAGCATACCAGGACTCTCCTGTATACGTTCATAAGATGGATATATCGGAACTTTGCTGTACATCTCATCTGTTATTATACAGTACAAGGCAGATGCACAAGGAAGTTAACAAACACCTCGGAAGAAACTCTTGTTTGCTAACACTTGCCAGTGTAGTGTTCGTTGATGAATTGCTGCAAGTTGGGAAGTTGGTGCTGGCATTTCCTACCTCACCCTGGTCACAGAACTCAGCACGTGACAGGAAGTGCCCGCACTGATTTCTTCATTTGCAGCAGCTTGCTGTTGAAAATTAGCCTGATGAGTGAGGGGAACAAACAGGATTTTGGCCATTATTTAGAGACAGATTTAAAACAGCTTTAAAAAAAATATAGTTGCAAAAAAAGTATTCCGCTTTTAAAAGCCAAAGTTTGGACGCAATGCTACAGTTTAGTGTGAAGATCGGCAAAGATGAAGTTAGTTATGTGTGTACCCCACCTTTCCTCTGAGTCACACAAAGATGGAGGGAGATTGAGACATGGAGAAATGTTATGGTTTCATCACGGCATGAGTACCATGTGGATGTCATAAGGAGGGGTGTCCATACCTCTGGTGGCCACCAGCGTGAGTCACCACCATCATCTCAAATGATTAAAACCTTTTTTGGGTAAGAATATTACAAACGTTACGGTCTCTCAAGTGGAACATAACCATATATAGAGGTATTTTTCAGTGGTCTCCATGTGCGACCATGCCTCACAGTTGTGGCAGGCAGAGATTCTCCCTTCCCCCTCATCTGGTTATTTTTCTTGCAAAATCGAGATAGACTGCTGTTGAAAGTGGAGGCGCCCCATGCACCTACTTGGTCTTCGTAGTTGGGCTGCGTGAAGCTCAAACTCACGCTGGGGTTTGTTTGTTCGATGCCTCTGAAACATGGGAGCCATCACAGCGTTAGGAGTTTCAGTCAATTAATTTCAGCCGCTCAGAGTGGTATAGATTTACCAGATGAGCGGGATATAAATCAAATAAAGAAATAAAGAAATAAAGAAATAAAGGATATCTTCACGAAGGCGTTGGGAGCAGAGAGAGGTGGGTGCTTCTCCACCGTCTTTGGGATATTTCCTGTTACCTTTCGTTTTGCGCTAAAGCGCCTGATAAAGGCGGCAAGAGGCAGCCCTGTGAACATAGCCTAAGCTGCAGAATTAGCAACCCCTGAGATGTCTTTCCCTGTGTAACTCTCTTTGTAGAAGAGAATTGCAAAAAGTACCTGCAGAAGAAACAGCAAGAGCTAGCGGATCGGCCTTTGCAGGTCCCTGCCGTGGACAGCAGCGTTCCCAGGAGCCATGAAATGCAGGGCATCACCACGCGGGATGATCCGTTGGGTAAGTCGTAGGGAAGCCTGTGTGGCTGACAGAGAGCACTGGGAGGGTCTTGGCCCCTGCACACGAGCAAGAATGAGCTCGGCCACCTTCCTTCCATGGCTCGAGTGGATCCGTTCTTTCTCCGTCCATCTTTGTTTAACAGGTCCAAACCCAGCAGAAATTCAGCAGGTAAAGCCCTACTCCAGCCTATCACACGTGGTATCTCCAGGCAATGCATGTGTGGAACTCAACTTCTTTTTTTTAGAACAAAAACAAACCCAAAAATACAAATAATAGTGCTTCCTATACACTAAATTCTACCATGCACTCCATACCCACGGGACCCCATTGAACAATATTTTTATTACAAACTTCCTTTCCAAAATTGTTTAGATTATTGTTTAGAGGCTTTCCCCTTTCCTTTCACTAATATAAATCTACTCCAAATACCATAAAATATTTGAACTTATTTCCACTCTTTCCATCTTGAGTTCACTAGTCAATTTATCATTTAATGCAATGTCCCAGACGTCACCATGCCAATCTTCTAATTTAATATCATTTTAATCTTTCCAAAACCTAACTATTAATATTCTAGCACTTGTCAACAAGTTAGAAATCAATTCTGGACTTCTGTGCCTCTGTTTAAAGGCATGGAGGCCTTCCTGGGAATGACAAATACTATCAGAGAAGTACAGTTTGGGGACTACAGCTCCCATTATTTAACCACAAAGCCTATCAGCCTGCTACCTGGGAAATGGTGGTAGTGGTGATCCGAAAATCAGCATAACCGCTTTTGTGCTGCACACAGTTGGCAAAGATCTGATTGTGCAGGAGATGCCTCAGTTCAGGTCGGTCAAGTCTGATCGCCTAGGGCGACTACATATCTTTTTAGGGAGAATCCTCAGGGAACCATTTTCTTTAAAGTTGTTCCTCTTGCGAACAAGTAATAAAAGGGCAAGCTTTTGTGGATTTATTAGCAGGTGTGGTTTAAAGGGATACTGTCTTATCCGTCCTTTCTTCAAATGCTTTTTTTTTTCAGGGCAAAGCCCCGAGATGTTTGATGCTTTCATCTGCTACTGCCAGAATGACATCCACTTTGTGCAAGAGATGATCCAGGAGCTGGAGCAAACCGAACACAAACTGAAACTGTGTGTGTTTGACCGGGACGTTCTGCCGGGAACGTGCGTGTGGTCCATCACCAGTGAACTTATAGAGAAGAGGTGAGTGTGACCTTTGAAGAGCATTGGATAGTAATCAATCCATTTCCCGTTCAACAAAAATCATCCCAGGGTGCTTTGTTTAAAAAAGGAGGAGGAAAGGAAAGCTCCTAATAAATCAGAGTACTTTACTGAGTACAATTGCAGTAATTATTTTGAGGGCAGATTTAAAAAAATAGCATTAAATAACACAGATCAAAGTGTGCTCTCTTCACAGAGTGATGTCCTCTGAAGATGCCAGCCTCAGAGACTGGCGAAACGTTAGGAAGAACAACCTTCAGAACACGGCCAAAGAGCCCGAAAAACCCACAACAACCATTAAATCCTTTTCTCTTGGGATTTTTTTTGACTTCCCACCTGGTCCCCAATTGTTGTTTAGTTGTTAAGTCGTGTCCAACTCTTCGTGACCCCATGGACCAGAGCACGCCAGGCCCTCCTGTCTTCCCCTGCCTCCCGGAGTTGGGTCAAATTCATGCTGGTCGCTTCAATGACCCTGTCCACCCATCTCGTCCTCTGTCATCCCCTTCTCCTCTTGCCTTCACACTTTCCCAACATCAGGGTCTTTTCCAGGGAGTCTTCTCTTCTCTTCTCATGAGATGGCCAAAGTATTGGAGCCTCAGCTTCAGGATCTGTCCTTCCAGGGAGCACTCAGGCTTGACCTATCAGAATGGATAGGTTTGCTTTCCTTGCAGTCCAGGGGACTCTCAAGAGCCTCCTCCACCACCACAATTCAAAAGCATCCATTCTTCAGACGGCAGCCTTCTTTATGATCCAACTCTTCCTTCCGTTACTGGAAAAACCAATGCTTTGACTATGCGGACCTTTGTCGGCAATGCATAGCCATTTTTGGCAACCCCTAAGTCTTTTGTGGTTAGGCCAATCCCAACTTGGGTTCCACCACCACCACCCCCAGTTCCGGGATGCCAGCCACTAATCCTTGCATTTCTCCTATTTTGTTTTTAACGGCAGGTGTCGGAAGATGGTGGTTGTCATCTCAGATGATTACCTCAATAGTGAAGAGTGTGATTTCCAAACGAAGTTTGCCCTGAGCCTCTCCCCAGGTAAGACACACACACCTTGTAGCAGACAGCTGCTTTATTCAGTTAAGCGTGGGAAGACGATCAGTGAGATGAAGCCGCAAGCCAACTTAGAACAGAGACCCTTCGGGTTGGTGGCTGGTGGTCAGCGTTCCAGTTCTTCCCACTGTGCTGTCACATCATTAAAGAGGTTACACCGTATTCCAGTCAAATTGGATAGCACTTTGATTCCAATTTGAAACTGCAAAATGCAGCAAAAAGAGGAAGATCCCCAACCCTAAAAACCTTTTCAAAAAGTCCTAAGTGCTCCTGTCATCTGTTCCCCTTACTCATCCTGCCGTGATAGGTCAAGGTTGAAAGGAACAGAAGATGGGGAGCAACAGAGTCCTCCAGGAAAGGCCACAGTTTGTTTATGTAACAATAGGTTTAATTAGTTATGGTAGTTTTATTGATTTTATGATATTTGTATATTGTATTCTTCTAAGGCGACTGAGTATGACTGTGTTGTTAACTGCTTGCCTTAGAAGGCAGTATGCACATGGAAATAATATATAAATAAATAAATTTTGAACGGTAGGCATTCCTGGGTCTAGTCCCCTAGCTGGGCTCTCAAGGAGAATCCAAGAATACTCCTTTTTTCTTTTCTTTGCTATTCCATCTTGGTAATCCTTTCTTTAAATTAATTGTTTTAAATTGAAATTGTAATTGTAATTTTATGATTTTATATATTTTTATACTGTTCTGTTTTATTTTGTAAGCCGCCCCGAGTAGACATGGTCTAGAGGGGCAGGGTAAAAATCAAATAAATAAATAAATACATAAATACATAAATAATACTATACACTCTCTTGATCACTATCAGTAAACCAGTCCTGCCAGAGTTACCCTCTCCTCTAGAAGTAGGTGTTTTGCAAAGCCAATGGATCTTACTTGCCCGTTCAAGACCATGTCACCCCAAAACACTTGGCCGTACAACATTATGGTCTTGCTGGGAGAATCGCTCCCTCCCCACTAGCCATTCTGAGCCCGGAGGCTGTGTGGTCCTCTTTGCTAATCACAAAATTCAAGTGTTTTTGCCCCTACAAGCTTTGCTTCCACTAGGCCACTGGTACGGAGAAGTGATTCCTGCCTTATCTCCTGGCCTAGAAAATTTATTCCTGCTTGATCTCCTGGCCTGTCAGGAGATCTTAAAATGATGAACCAGCGCTTGGGGCAAAGTTTTGCAACCACAATATCCAGCATTTTTGAGACAGTATGGCTATGGAAACACGCACACCCCAAAGACTTTTTCCAGTGGTGGTATTATCTCTAGTTTGAAGTCTGCAATAACAGAGAGATGTGCAGATTTATGAGGTTGTGTTGTTGTTTTCTGGATGACAGTTCCCAGAATGGTAGTCCAAACAAACAAACAAAACAAAACACACACACACACACACACAACCTCATAAACTACAATTCCCAGAATGGTTGTCCCAAAGCATTCTGGGAGCTGTAGTTAAAAAAAAAAACAAATGAAAAAAAACCCCACAAATTGGCACGCCTCCAGTTTCTACCCATTTGTAATGGATTTTTAAAAACCGGTCCGGGAAACACAGAACCGGTCCGGTTCAGCCGTGGCTTTCTGACTCTCCACCGAAAGGGTTGGGCAGAGGTTCTTCACAGGATCCGCATGCGGGTCTCGTATTTTCTCACGCCTGCATTTCCACTTTCTTCTAGGAGCTCGTCTGAAGCGCCTCATCCCCGTGAAGTGCAAAAGCATGAAAAAAGAGTTCCCCAGCATCTTGCGCTTCATCACGGTTTGCGACTACACCAACCCCACCACCAAAAAATGGTTCTGGACGCGATTGGCCAAGTCCCTCTTGCTCCCGTGACGCCGGGCGCAACCCAGCTGCCGATGGGGGGATGGCCCTCGTGGCTTGACCGGACATTGCCTTCAAGAAGCTGAGGGCTTAAGTCTCTCCTCGCCTTCGCTGGGAAGGCGAGCGGCTGGTGATAAACGCGGCGTGGCAAAGCCTGTGGTAAAAACTCCGCTTCTCAAATCGTGGACAAGGTTTTTTTTTAAAAAAAGGTCAAGAAGGTAGTGGTAGGCGCAAGTTTTCATGACGGTTCCCTTATTTGTTGGGAAAGGAGACTGGTTTGAGCAGCGTTGACATGTGAAAACGTGGGTCACCCTTGAATACGTGTTGAAATTTTGCAGGATGTGGGACCATTCTTTTTTTCCTGGTGCAAACAGACAGTGGCCCTGCTTCTGATGAAGGGAAAGGCCCAGCGGTTTTAAAGCAAACTTATGGGCTCATCAGTCTAGCAGGCTCTGTGTTTTATGACCGCCAATTCAAAGGTAGTGTCGGGACCGTCCTTGATATGTCCAGAAAACTGGTTTGTTCATCTCTCATTCTTAACCGATGTGAGGCAAGAAGGCGTAAGCTTTGCTTCTTTAAAAAGAGTATAAATGGCCAGTACTTGGACGAAGAAGTAAAAAATAGCCGCCTGTTTTCCCTGCTGCATTCTGTAGCCCAAAACAGCTGAGCTTTTAAAGCAGGCTGAGATTTCGTGTCCTCTCCACTTGGATTTTATCTCTATTTTTCCTGCCTCAAGGGTTTGGCTTGTGGGGGGGGGGAGGTTTAACTGCTGCAAGACAAACAAGGTCTGTTTACTACCGTGGTGTCATGAGGATTCTTGGCATAGCTGGCCTTGAGGTGCAAAACCTCTACCTTACAAGACGCCTACCATAAAGAGCAGAGAAACCGGACCTTTGAGAAGTTCCTTCATTTTTTAAAGACATGGAGAAAAGGTAGCTTCTTTGGCACTCTCTGAAGGACCGCTCAAAATCCTGGCAGTTGCAGTCCGATGCTCACACGGTGTCAACAGTCCATAAGACCCTTCAAGAAATGTGTTACGTTGGATACCAACACGGCGGTCATGTCTCTGGAGATGGCAGCTCTCAACAATTATTTTGTTTTGCTTCTGAATCAGTCTCTCAGGTTCTTCAGCCTGGATGTTCTTCTCTCTCTCTCTCTTTTTTAAAACTTCCTGTTTACCCTACCCTGAATTAACAGCTGTAACCATCTGCATTTTTTGTTCCTCGTTACATGACCAAAGTATTCTAGCATTCCACATTTTATGTTTCAAGATTCCTTGTTCTTTATTAGGAATGGGTGTTCTGGATTTTTTTAAAACTATAATTCGCCTTCCTGGGATTCGCACCTCCCAGACTTTGTAGACACCTAAATTGTGCTCGCCTGGTGAAAAGGCCTAGCTGGCCGGCTTTGTGACTTGTATAGGCCTAGCTTCCTGTTTGAAAAGGAAGCTTCCCAGTAACTGCAAGAGTGGCTTCTTTTGCAAATAGGAAGCTAGGACTCTCAGAGGCATGAAATCTTCCAGCAGGGCCTTTTCTTCAAGGGAGCATCATTGAGGTGCCTGTAAGGCCTGGGTCATGCAGATGGGACTCCCAGAAAGGAAAGTGATGGGACTTGTAGTAAAAGAAAAAAAACACACAATCTGAACTGCACATCTCCAATCTGTTTACTGATCTCCAAAGGGGTACTTTGTGGGTCACCGTCTTGATTGAAGAAATCCTTAACAGAGCTGTGTTTGAAATACTTCTGTCTTACCCACAGTGGCCAGTGTTAAAAGTCTACAGTTCCGTGCCATGCAGTAGAAATGAGTGCACTTAGCCCGCCACAAAGAGGAATTTTCAAAGCCAGTTTAGCACTCTCAGTTTTGACTATACACTGTGTTGTGGTTTTGTGGTCCCCCCCCCCTTTAAGGTTTTTTTTCCCCCTCAGAAGAAATTGTTGGTCTTTTGCACAACTCAGAGTTTTCTCCTGCCTGTGATATATCTCTCTTGTGCTTGGGTGGTGTCATTTTGGATAAATGTCTTCATTTAGAGTCTCCCAGACACCACAAATAGGAGGCGGGATTATTTGTAAATCTGAAGAGATGCATCTGGTTTCCTTTGAGCAGCTAAAGTTAGGAAAGACATTGGTGTTGTCTTGCACCTGATAATATCTCAAGGTTGCTTCTGACACTTTCACATCAGGGAAATAAATTTATAGCACTTGACATAAGTTTCTTCATTAATTATTTAGATGAGCTCTGTGTCTCTTTCTGCTTGTTTACGTAGACTGGTTTTTGTGCAGGGTGTTTTAAGTAGAAGGGTGTCGTGCTCTTGAGCTACAACTCCCATTATCCCCCATAAGTGCTGTGGGTATGCTGTGGCTTGTAGTCCAAAATCAAAAGATCTACACAAGTAGACCTCCAGAAATTATTAATTAGAAATGCGGGGGGGGGGGGGGAGAGAGATCTTTTGGTTACTAGGGTGACTTTTTCATCTTCTCTTTTGAAGGTTTAAATGAATCTGGTTCATGGCCCCCTTTCAAAAATAAATCCAAGGATAAGAAATTGTGGGGTGTTGTTAGCTAGACTAGAAATGGGGAGATCCAGATTCAGGTTTCCACCCAATTATTAAACTTACTGAGTGACCTTAATCCAGTCACGTTCTATCAGCCTGATGCACCTCAATCTTGCAACGACGGTAGAGTTGCGAAGGTGGAGAGCCATGTATTGTATGCCACTTACACTTATGGGAGAAGCAGAATATAAATATAGCTAATAACTTAATACAGTCGGACTACCATATGCGCAAGGGATAAATTCCAAGCCCACTCGTGGATGCTGAAAAACACAGATAATAACAAACATCTATTTTAAATTTTAATTTATTAATTCCTTCCTTGTATGGTGAGAGGAACTTTTTTCCTATCAGAATTCTCCCCCACTTTCCCAAGCTAGTTTTAATTCTTCTGTGGATTTTCTGTGCTCTTTTACTTGAGGCATTCTGAAAATTTGGCTTACAAGATTCAAGGACTAGATCTGCTAGCTTTTAAATTGTTTTGGGTGATCTAGTTTCCTTAACCACAGGTGACCGTGGTTCAGTGAATACAGATCCCCATGGATGGAATGGTCTTACTGTAGAACCTTCACATACATAGGTGCAAACTACAAGAGGAGGGGGGCAATCCTGAAGTCACTTCTGATGATTCAAGCTCCATGCTGGTTCACAGCTGTGGGCTCCCCACCACCACCTGTTTTCGGTTAAACCAAAGATGCTACAATTTAGGAAAGTCCAGGCAGGAATAAAACATGCACCTTTTCTCCATGCTGAGTAACCCGGCTGTAAAAAATGATCCTGGATGTAGTGCCTTCACATTAAAGGTGTGCATCTTTTGTTACTCCTGTGTTTGTGGCATTAATGCAAATGGTTGCAAGATCATAAGTCCCAGTGCAGTTTGAGAGGAGAAAACAAGGAAGTATGTTTTTAAAGAAAGCAATAACAGCAAATAAAAATTTTCCTTACCACTCCATTTTTCCTTATTCTGTGACTGCAAATTGTTTATGGTGTTTTCCTCTAGAATTGCTGTAGAATTTGTGCATCACTGCATTCTTTCCTTGGACTTGTATTAATTTTCTACTATGCCTTTATAATCATCCAGAGACAGGGTGACCTAGTGGCCGCAGCACCATGTCTGAGAAATGTGAGTTCAGATTTAGGTCTGGTGTGGCCCTGGGCTCAGTTGTGTCTCTTTCTTTCAGTCTAACCAACGAGATGAGGTGCCAATAGCATTCTGAGCTCCGGTCGCAAAAGCAACGGACAGAAATAGATTTTTAAAGTCAGCTTAAAGGAGAAAGCATGTTTTGCCCCCATTCAAAATATCTCGGCACTAGACACTGGTGTTTTGTGTTTTTTAATAGAAAAATGCATTCTTTGATCAGACCCCAGCTTAGAGAATTTGTTTTTTTTTCCTCCCAGGACTAGAGTACCAGCAGCCACGCTGGCTGGCAATTTTAGAGCAAGAATCTGGAAAGTAACTTTTCTGAGCTCTGGATCAGACCAAGGCATCTTACAGTAAGCTTAGAAATGTCCATTAACCTCTTAGAGGATTCATCCGGTACTGAAAAAGCAAGGCCTTCCCACACAATTTAGTTCCCATGGCAGGGAAAAAAAAATCCTCAAGTAGAGTGGAGCATGTTCCCATGAAAAAGCTGGAAGCCTGACATCACAACCCAATGCATGGTCTTCAGAGGTAAGACCCACTGAATTTCATGGGACTCATTCCCATTAAGATTCGTGGGATGAATTCCAGAAGACTTGGTGCGATCAACCGGAGGCCTGTGCGTGTTGCAGCCACCATAAAAGTATATGCAAGAATAGACCCATTTGAATCAATGGAACATACAGATGAGTTGACGCACCAAATTCCCATTGGTTCAGTAGCCCTAGTCTAGTGCAATTTACTATGCTAAGCAACAGGATTTTGGCCACTGAATTCTAGACTCAAACATTCAGTAAAGCAGCTTGTATACCTGATATAGAGTGGCTCTTTGTCCTCTTTGGTGGGGACAATCCTCCCTTTGAAGTTGTCCTCCACATGTTTACTTCATGTTTGATAATAAAAGTAAAGGACCGAAAGAAGGGAGATCAGGGACATGAAAGTTGCCCATCTATGAACAGCCACACAGCTCACCTGTTCACTGCCTTTCCTTATTTGAATGAGATGTGTTGCTCTGTTTAAATCATAAACATCATTCTAAAAGTAAAGGACTGAAAGAAGGGAGATCAGGGACGTGAAATTTGCCCATCTACTATGAACAGTCACACAGCTCACCTGGTCACTGCCTTTCCCTATTTGAATGAGACATGTTGCTCTGTTTAAATCATAAACATCATTTCTAATTTTGCCTTTGTTTCTATTAATCAGCACATGCAATTTAATGATAGCCAGAGTCTTCTCTTTTATCGTCCTTTTTTGGTGATGCATGTCCTGTGTGTTGGTGTTGTGTAAACGTCCACCATGACCTGATGACAGAACGATTTCCTTATTGCTCTGGCAGCTACCTCTGATTTTCCTGTTCCTCGTGAACGTTTCATGTGCGAGAGGTGAGCATGGGGACTGCAGGGTTTTTTAAAAAATCCTTGTCTCATATTTACTTTTCACTTTGTACTGTATGCCAAGACTGGGCCTACTGTTAGGCAGGAGAACAAAGCGCCAGAAGTGGCAAATAGTGGAGAGCAAACCGTTAATTATTTAGCTTATTTCTAATTTTTTTTCCACCTCAGGGAGGCATAATCTGGATCTTCAGGCTTGGTCATGTCTTGGGCCATTTCACATCATCTGTCATCTATTCCTTGTAACTGAACCATAAAGGCAAAAATTTAGAGCAAAATGTACTGCTTATATAGCACTTCACAGAGCTTAAATCTTTCTTGGATGGTTTACAATTTAATTATACAGACTACACATCCCCCCCCCCCAGCAATCTGATTACTCAGTTTACTGACCTCAGAAAGAGGATGGGATCAAATTCAGATTGTGAACTGCAGTTTAACCACTGTACCGCTAGGCTCCATCATAGAAAGTAATGTGAATGAAAAATTATCTTACAGTGAGAGAGAAAAATAACATGATGCATGTAAGTCTCTCTGCTGGCTGTCATGGTGTTTATTACACTTAGAAGAAGTACACATAAGAGAGAAGAACCTTTGGAATTATTTCTGATGAAGTGGAAGCTAATGTGATCATCCTAATACTAACGTGGTAAGGTAGATACATCAGGGTCTTCCCCCTTGAGCAAACCTTCGTGGGGCTAATTATCCCCAGTCTGCGGCCAGAACTGCCAGCACTCTCAGAATCTCTCAGCCAGAACATCCCAGGCTGGTTGATTATTGTGACAAGACGCTGGGACTTAGCCACAACATTGACTCTGACGCATCATGGCATCTCTGCCACAGTAACCTATGAGGTCTCCTTATAAATTGAACACTGTTTCTGCCTCTCTTCTTTCCCTTAGTAACATTAATAAATAAAATCCTGCATTCAAGTACTCAGAACGAAGCAGGCAAATTGGTGCTACATCTGTGCATAATCTTCATGCAAAGCTGCTGAGAGATGCATAGTTTATTAAAGGGTGTTGCCGGGGAGGGGGGGGGAGGCCTGTTGAAATTGAATGGAAAAATGAATTGGCATGCTAAGGGAGAACGTCTGGCACGGACAGCCACTGTCTGAAGGGCCGAGCGTTACCGAGAATAATTGGTGCAGGAAACCTCTGGCACAGATGATGTTCCGGGTTGGCTCCTGTTTTGGAAACCTTGCCCTGTGAGCTGAGGGCTGAAACGACATCAAGTGTGCAAAGCAAAGTGCTTGGCAACTCTGAACAATAGGAGAGGGCCGGAGGGGAGATCAGCAAGAGCATTTTGTGGTTTTGTTCACTACAGGGGGAAGAGGGGGTCCAGCAGCTCCCGACAGGCTTTGTATGAGTTGCAAAAAGAGATCAAGGTTTCCACTTAAGCCTGAAAATATTTTCTCCATGGGAGGCTGGGAGGCCACTTTCATGCAGTGACAAGGTCAGGCCTTTGGCTTGCCAAGGCCCACTTAAGGCACTTTTGTGAGCTGAATAGGACGGGCATTGTTAAGTTTGGCAAAGCATGATTGCAGCCAAGGGTTTCAGCTCACCGGTGAGGGCTGCCAAGGCCAGAGCCCGCAATTTGTGTTTCTGTGCCCTCAGGGATAATCGGAGAAGGAAAATTCCACCTCATGCAGCTTCTTCACCTGTCAAATTCTACAGGTGGACAATTGATTCCTCGGGATCAACTCCACTTTCAGAACAGTGTGAAAGCTTTTGAAATCTTTAGAATTCTTCATCAGCCTAGTTCTAATATAATGCCTGCACGCCTACTTCTAACTCATCAAGTCCAGATTCTCCATTTTGTCAGTTTTCACTGCAATCCTCCTAGCAGAATTACCTAGCCAAATCTTGGGACTTTCATACGTATTTGTTCCCCATCTTTTTTTAAAAACACCTAACTTGATGAAGATTTCTCAGAAACCTGAACACAGGCACAAAGCTGTTGAATTGTAGCTCTCCTTGCAAAAGTATTATTCCCATGTTCCCCAAAATTGTGGATTATTAGTTTTGTTTTGTTCTGACACAGCTATCTTGGTTTCTGTATTTTCCTACCAAATCAGGAATCCTAGGAGTATCAGTGAGAGAGGAGGTGGTATGAGATGAGAGAGAGCAGGGACTCGCTCAGCTAAGAAAATAAGAGCGTTCAGGTTGGCTTGCCTACATAAAGCAAGATGGAGCCAATGTTTACCCAAAATATATAGACGCCCAGAATGAAGAATGGTACCAGTCCTCAGCAATCCCATTTGAGGTCCTTTATGGCACAAATGTGTGTGTTTAAGGGTGCTACATTACAGAGGCAGCCCTTGCTACACTTTGGTGAGCTGGAACATGTTCGTAGGAGAGCAACCAAGACAGGAAAAGACTTGAAGCCAAGCTCTGTAAGGAGTGGTTGAAGGATCTGGATAGGTTTGGCCTGGAGAAAAGATTGAGAGACAAGATGATAGCCATCTTCAAATATCTAAAGGAAAATGAAGGACCTTTCTGGAGCTCCAGGAGGGCAAGACCGAAGCCAAGACCTTGAAGTTACAAGAGAGGATATACCAATTAAACCCTGGAAAGGATTTTTTCGGACAGTAGAGCTGTTTATTAGTAGTACATATGACTTCAGAAGGTGGTGGCTTCTCCTTTGTTGTTGTTTTTAAACAGAAGTTGGCTTGCCATCAGAGATACTTCAGTGGTAGACCCATGTGTTGGCAGCGTTTGGGCTAAATAATCCCTGTTTTTTCCCCCCAAATCTACAGTTCTATGATTCTGTGTGACACCATCATGCTGTTTCGGCTAAATAATCCGTTCCCCCCCCCCAACTCTACAGTTCTATGATTCTGTGTGACACCATCATGCTCCTGTGATTTGAATGTTTCACAGACAGCTCACGCAGGTGCATGTCAAATTGATGTTCCTCCAGCTTTTGGCTATCTCATAACTGGCCAAATTAATAAAACTGCACACAATCTAATACGTTTTTGGTTGGCAGTTTGATCAGATCATAACACAATCTAATACATTTTTGGTTGGCAGTTTGATCAGATCATACCCGCCTCTTGTCCCTGGAGCTTGCCTATGGCTCCATGACTGAATCTAGCCCTCCATAGCCCCCTATACACCAAGACGCTGGTGTCGCATTAGCCTTTTTTCAGTCTGTAGGACAGAGTTCTGAATTTATGCAACCAGTGAATTGGTTTTCAGACTCTTATCCACCTGATGGTAGCTTCAACCCATTCTATATATACTAGCTCACAAAAACAAGTGGAAGAGTGGATTCCACAAGGCAGCAATGATTCCTTCTGGCCAGTGATATCCCATAGCAGCTACTAATACCAGATTAGCTGGTATTTCCAGCTATGCTAGTGTGACATAAACCAATGCTGGTCAAAAAACAAAAGCAGATAAACTAGATTGGGTTGCCTATATGTGACTCTTGAGCCCGGCTATAGATACGATGTCCTTCTGGAGGGGCTAGTCTCATATCTGTTGTGTTTGCACTGGAACACATTCCTTAGGGGTGATTCCCCCCCTCCCGGCCATCATTACTCCCTTTACCATAGCTAAGATCATTCTGTTTAATTCAGACATGTAAATATTCAGCTGTATAGTAAGGACTGATAATGATATTCTGGGAAGAAGGAAGGCTTGATGGATTTCAAGTTTAAATTTAAGACAGAGAATGTTCCCTTCACGCTTGCAGGATTTGTTCCACTTGTAAATGGATTTCTGAGACTCCCTAACTGGAGTGACAGGTAGAATCAGAGTGGCATTATTTGAAATTACAAGCATATACACAAGTAGAAATCTGTATCAGGGTTACCAAAGAGTGGAATTTTGAGAAGTTACTTTTTGAACTACAACTACCAGAATCTCCCAGACTGGCTAAAAAAGTAAGTTATTCTAGGTCTGCTTCAGACGATAGACTCTAAAACAACATTTTTACACTGTTTAGCAGAGCTGCACAACTGCTCTCCCTATTGTTACTTTAATACAGTATCAGGATTACCCACATGGCACATGATGCGCTGCCAATGCATTGTTTCCTCTCTCATTTTGCCACGAAAAACTGATTTTTCAGACTACTTTTATGAGTCTTTAAAATTTAACACCAATTTTGTGTGTTACTGGATTAGGCTGACGCTAAACATGCAATGCTATATAACATAGTTGTACTGATGGGATGTGTAATTTAAAAGCAAGAATAAATGAAGTGTTCTGTTGACATTGAGCCGAAAAGATTTAAGTACGAACTTCAACGGATTCCAACCCTTGCAATTCCCTCTCTTTTGTTGGGTTTCATCCCTATGTGCAGAAACAGGCTAACTCAGCCACCTGTTCAGAAATCATCCTGGCACAAGTGACTTCAGCAAGTTTATTGTTCTACAGTATTTTTATATCTAAACATGAACAAAGTGCCAGCCAGCCATTATTCATGCTTATAAAAGACTTAGAAGACTGTTAAAAAATTCCACAAAACGATGTGCTGGTAGCTGGTATTTTTGCAATTTCCCGTCTTTCCATAAATTCAAAGAACATTTGTATTCAGAGATGGGGGAATTCCACAATAATAATAAAAAAATATCCTTATACTGATTATTATGATTGAGTTGATTCATGTTAAGCTGAAAACCTATTATGGAATTGCTCAGAAGCATTGTACCCTTGGGCTATTTAAAAAAAAACATTGCTCAAGGAAAACCACTTAGCACATGCTCAGGAGCACTGTGTCTTTTCATCCTTTTCCAGAACTTTGTCCTGTTTTCCCGGGCATACTCAGAGATACTTCTCCCAAGTTGCCACAATTTGAAAAACTGAGCAATAATAGGTAAATTATGGGAGTGTAGTATCTATTTTAGGAGATGCTTGTGATTCCTCTTTCACTCGACCGTAGACAAACCCTAAAAAAGACAATACTCTCCTGAGGTAAAACCCGCCTTATTTACACAGCCCATTCCAAAAACCAAAGGGGGAGGGGAATATAGTGTGATTGACATTAGTCAACCAATGATTTGCATGATTTCCCTTCCTACCCCACATATTCGCCAATCAAATTCGGCTCAGGGCTCTTTTTCCCCGCCCTCTCTTTTCTCCCTTCGCTGGCTGAGCGAGGATTGTCGTCCGCCATCTTGTGAGTGGCGCCCACCGCCTCATTCCCCGTTTCGTATTCGCGGAAGGCGGCCAACGGGTCAAAACGGAGCGGGACGCTTCTTGAGGGACTGGATGACAATATATGTATACGTGTGTGTGTGTTTCCCTTCAAAAAAAGATAGCGAAGTCTCTGAATCAAATAGAGGAGTCAGAGAGGGGTTTAAAGGAGTTTCTGAGGGAGGGGGAGGGGTGGACACGCAAAGACACGCTCAAGATGGCGCCGGCGCCCGCTTTCCCCCGCCGCGAGCAACGCTAGCCGTGCGGGTGACGTCACCGCGCTTCTGGGCATGAGCAGGTGGGAAGGGCAGGCTAAGTTCGGAGGAGAGGCAGAGCGCGAGAGTGGGGAGGTTGGCGCGCCCGGTGGTGGTGGTGCTGCTGCTGCTCCTCCTTCGGCGGAGGGAGGAGGAGGAGGAGGCTGAGCCTGAGCCGCCCTCTTTCCTGGCATCTCCCTTCCCTCCTGGGCGAGCTGGGCCTGCTCCGCTTTCGCTCGCAGCGGAGCTGGAGGAGCAGAAGCAGCGGCAGCAGCAGCCTCTGCTGCTCCTGCCTGGGCTCCCGCCGCCATGGCTGCCGAAGACGCCTCCAGCGCCTCTTTGCCCTGGTCCATCAACAAGGATGACTATGAGCTGCAGGAGGTGATCGGTACGTGGGGCTGAGGCGGCGGGATGGGGCGGAGGAGGGGGTTCTTTATGCCATCCAAGCTGAGAAGGGCTTCATTCTTTTAGCGAACCTTCGCCCAGTAAAAAAGAATCCTGGCACCCTGCTGGCTGTTGAGCGTAAAGACAATTCAGGCCATGTCTTTAAGCTGGTCCTAAATGGCAAGGCCAAAACATTGGACCTAAGTGTCTTTCCCCCCGGGCACGCCTTTGTGCCAGAGGAACTGGGGGTGGGGTGGGGGCCCTAAGTCCGGTGGGGTGCCCTAGATCCTAGGGACGAGAGAAGGCGACCTGGCCTTGTGTGTGTGTGTGTGTGTGTGTGTGTGTGTCACAGCCATTCATCTTCTGCACATGGGAGGTAGGAGGGTCTCAGGGTTAGTGTGTGTGTGTGTGTATATATATGTGCATGCCCGGTCTGGATGGTGCCAGGGTGACTGCCATCTTTTAGACCCATGTCTTTCTCTCCCCCCCCACCCCCGGTGTGGCTGGTTGTTCCCCCCTCTTTGGGACTCGCATGTGTGAAAAGGGGTTCCTCGGAGTGCAGGTGGGTGTGTTCCCATAGCTCGCCTTGGCAGCCTCCTGTGAAATACTACTGTACAGTTCTTTGGGGTGCAAATCCCAGGGCAGCTGACTCGAAAGAGGTGAGTTTTGTACACGTTGGTCTTAATCCAGGGAATTAATTGTGGCTGGGTGTCGCATTCGTCCAGGGAAAAGGGGGCGTTGCGTGCCTGGGTGTGCATCTGTGTGCTTGTGCTTCGGCGGCCGTCTGCTCTTGGTACTGACTGGCAAGCCGCTGGTAGCTGAGGGTGGTGCTGGCGCTTCAGAGAGGATTGTAGTCTAGGATATATGCCGGAGTTACACTTTTTGGAGTTCGGTGGGGACATAGTGTGGCTTCCTAACTAGGAAATCCTTTCTTATGCATTTGCTGCTTGTCATTCATTTGATCTTCTTCCTAATTTCAGCCATGCCCAAGGCACGTACCTGTTCTTGAAAAGTAATACTTGGGTGTGTTACTTCAGCAGCTGGCATTGGGTGCATATGTATTTCTATAAACTGCTGGTTATCAGAGCCAGAGGCTGAGTGTTCAATTCCCCACTGTGCTGAAAGGGGCTGGACTTGATGATCCATAGGGTCCCTTCCAGCTCTGCAGTTCTACGATTATTATTATTATTACCTTGCAGACACATCTACTTAAATGGAAGTAAGCACATGCTTATTTTTTTAATATACAATTACAGTCAGTTGGAACCTCGTTCTTATTCCACAGGCAAACATCCATAGATATGGTGCAGCTTATGTATTTCTGACTATATATGTATGCGCATAAAGCCCTATAGGTGATCTGGGTTAGTGTGAGTGCTGTAAGGCTTTCTGGGATTTCTGGACAATTGTGTTGTGACTTTGAGGGAAAATTGTAAATGTGGATTTCTTCTGTCTTAATGCTTGAGGAATGTGGAAGCTTGAATACTTGTGGTTTCAAGGCTTTGAGGCTTGGGGGTGTGGTTATGCTATAATTAAAGGTTTTTGTTTTGGTTTGGGTTTTTTCTTTTTTGCAAATCATTTTCCTGTGCTCTCAGACTTTTCCCAGTGGAGATTTGCAAACAGCATGTGTGCACAAAAGGATCTTCATTCTCTTCTGTTGCCTTTCCTCCACTCATAAATGCCATCACTTATGCTCCAAGTTCATCTTTTCCTGCCCTCTCTTAAAGGTATGCCAGTAAGCTCATGGAGAAGTCAAAGCCCTTGACCTCTTAATTGCTGGGAAATCTAGGGTTTGTTATATGAGGGCTATTATAGGATTTATTGTGATCTGGAAAAGATGCCTTTGGTGTTGATGCAACTCTGCAAATTGCAGTCTGTTGCTGAAACAGCAGCTTATTGTACTTCATCCCAGCAGCTCTCCTGGTGCAGTGACCTTTGAGGACCAGTGCCTTCGGGAGACACAGGCAAAACTGACCTTGACAGGACTCTGTGCGCAAAGTAAGATAAGAAAAAAGTTTAAGATCCCACCCAGGGCTGTATATTTGCCTGTTGCAGTAGACTTTGGAGGCGGGGAGATGGAGAAAGGCTGGCATTACCAAAGAGGAGACTGGCAGTGGTTGGGAAGAAGGTGTCGAGAAGGCAAACGAGGGTAGGTGTGAAATAAAGGAACTAGTGAACTCAGAACCAACAAATAGTTTTTGTGAACCCTTTTATGGCAGTTGCCATTTATTTTGAAGGAGTAATATGGGGATGTGTTTGTCTCTGCACCTTGAGGAAGCTAGCATAATCTCAGAAGGTATGGGTCCAGTAATAGAATCACCATGGACTTTTTTTTAAAAAAGCCCAAGATGGTTAAAAAAAGGATACTGTACAGTCCATTCAATGGGAAAATTCCTGTAGCTGATTGCCGGAAGTGAATAGATCCTCATACAATGAGTTTGAAGTGAAGTGCCAGACTTGTTAACTAATGGCAACACTTTCCTTCAGTTTATGCTGTTGCACGCACACTGGCTAACCAGTAGGATTCTGGGTGCTATTGCAGTTCCATTTCCCTGTGTTGGTATTGTTCCACTCATCAATGAGTGAGTCACTTCTGGGTCAATTCCAAGCACCTCTTGTCTGTCTCATCTGATTCTTATGCTGTTTGTTTATATGGGTACCCTTTGCTCATCATCTTTAAGGGTTCTAAACAGAGAGATGCAAGAGAGCAGATGATGGTGAAAAAACCTGCAGGCTAAAATATTGGGAAAGAAAATGCAGCTGACCACACTTTTTAGGGAGCAGCTTTTGATCCCACCGTGCCCTGGCCTGGAGCGCCTGTCCATTCTAAAGACACAACTTCTGTGAGTTGCAAAGATAGACTCATTTTTGAAGGGAGTGGAGGCATAGGATCATAGACACATGAAGGGACCTATAAGGCCCTGCTCAATGCAGGAATACAGATCAAAGGATATCTTCCAGGTGTTGTCTTAATTTCTCTTGAATGCCATACTACTGGAAATACTATCTGATGGTATCCTGTCTATACTGTAAGGAAGGAGTTGGATCCACTCTGAATTACTGCATTAAATCCCATTGATTCTGTTGGTTCTTCTCTGAGCGTAATTACATCTTGATCCAAGCCAGGGAGTATGAACTCAAGCCCAGTAAGAGGGGTCCTTTTGATTAAAGGTGGCCCGTTTGTGGGATGAATGTGCAAACTTTAGATTTGAACAGAACGAGTATCATTGGGAATTGAACTCCCAACTCTTACACCATAATGAGGCGGTCCAGCTTGCTGAACTGTTCAGCCAAATCTAACAGCATATTAGTGTACAGTAAGACCCCATTATCCACAGGATCTGTATCCTATCCAGTCTGAAAACATTAAAAATATTAAAAGAAAAAAATCCAGAAAAAAACTATTTTCATATGTATTATTAAAACCCACAACTAGAGGGAACTAGAGACCACACAATGAATACTTGTTAGTGAAGAATACACTAACAGTGGCCAGTTCTAGTAATGCATGTTAAAATATTTTTGTTTTTTTCCTTTCATCATGCGTTCTCTCTCTCTCTCCCCCCCTTCCATAAATATATAGGGGGGAAGGGAGATAGAAAGTTTGCTATTATCCATGGTTTTCAGTATCTGTGGGGGGCTTGGAATCAATCCCCTGCAGATATGGGGGTCCTACTATATGTATAACTCTGCCTTGTTTCCTTCTACACCCCCCCCCGCCCTGTTGTTCATTACCCAGAACATGTGTATCCTTAGATCTCCCTATGAAACCATGTGGCTTAACTGCTTGTATCCAGACTAAATGCAGGAGACTTGTGGGTTTTTAAAAAATCAACCCTGGATTGGAATGACAGTGCTAGGGCTAGGATGAGTTAACTCTGGTTTCCCAAAGAAAATTGCTACGTCTCTCAGTTCTCTCCAGCAGCTGATGCCTACTCTGTGGAACCAAATATCCAAATGGAAACTGTATTGATTAAATCTGAATGCCAGGGATGTCTGAATCAGGCCTCCCCCCCCTTTTTTTGTGGTTTGCTCTTTAGAAAACAGCGGGCAGTCTTTTTCTCCTGCAGTGCGTCTACTTTGGGCTCTTAGCTGTTCATGCTTAAATGAAAGTCTATTTTTGTATGCATGGTTTATTCATCTGCTTAGATTCATCCTTTCCTTTCCCCACCTAAACTCAGACTGTAAGTTTCTTGCGGCAGAGGCCTTTCCCTTTCCACATTTGTTGACGAGAACTCTGCAAAAAATCCCTCCACATCTCAGCTTAATGGAGAAAGGAAAAGGCAAAATATAGCTTGTACGTAATGCTAAACGTCTCTTACAGCATTGTAAATTGATTCTTCTTAATGGGAAGTAATCCAGCCCTTGAATCCTGAGAGAGATTTGGAAATGGTGAGTGGAAGAGTGGGAAATACTGAATGCTTGCTTTATATCCACTCATCCCTTAAATTTTTTGGGGGGGCTATATTTTCAAATACAGTGGTGATTCGCTTAACGGGCGCTCTGTTTTATGATGAAATCGCATAACAGTGGGAAATACTGAATGCTTGCTTTATGTCCACTCATCCCTTAATTTTTTTTTTTTTTGGCTATATTTTCAAATACAGTGGTGCCTCGCTTAACAGGCGCTCTGTTTTATGATGAAATCGCATAACGACGAAGTTTTTGCAGTCACAAATGCGATCGCAAAACAATGTTCCCTATGGGGGAATTTCGTTTTGCGATGATCGGTTCCCTGCTTCAGGAACCGATTCTCGCAAAACAACGATTTTCCTACAGATGATCGGCGGTTTCAGAATGGCCGCCGGGTAAAAAAAAAAGTCCACCCGCTCTTTTCTGGGACGGATTCCTCACTGTGTGGAGCAGCGAAAATGGCCGCGCTATGGAGGATCTTCGCTGGACGGTGAGTTTGAAGCCCATAGGAATGCATTAATTGGGTTTTAATGTGTTTCTATGGGCTTTTAAATTTTGCTTTACAATGTTTTTGTTCTACAGTGATTTCGC